TTTTTTTGATGATATTGCACTTTAATGAAATGTATTTTTCATGTTTTTGTTTCAGGTACATGAAATGGAGTTTATAGGAAAATGAGTGAAAATGTATGCAAAATGGAGTCATGAAGCAGTAGCGCCTTAGCGCCAGAATCAAAACGAGATTGGCGCCTAGGCGCCATAAACGATTACCCCTTTTATTCAATGAATTTGAACAAATTCTGAAGAGGTATCTGAAGCAACCCTAGGTGATTTTTGGAGCTTTATATATAGGGATGAATTCCAAACAAAAATAGTGTGTGTGTGGAATCGTTTTAGAGTAAGTTAGATCCCTATTAGAGTGAGCATCAACCATAGTGAGAGAGTGGTGAGCCTTTGTGATTGTTGGATTTTTGTGAGTCTTGTAAGGGTTTACAAGAAAATTTAGAGGATTACTTGGAGAAGAGTTAGAGTTAAGTATCTGTACTTTTTTTCAAGTTTTGTTTTGTAAACTTGAGTTTTTAATATAAATCATGCTTTATTTTGTTATCCCCATGAATTCTGAGAGTTTTCCATTTCTTTCTCCTTGGAATAAATAGTAATCATGTGGAGAATTTGATTTGTTTATAACTTCTTTTATTCCAAAAATTGTGATGGTATTTCCACCAGTTCTTTATTTACTTTGCAAACTGACCACTTGTAATGTTAAAATCTGTTGTGAAACATAACAGCTTCGGAGGACTATGATTTTATCCAACTATTGAGTACCACAACAACCTTATGAGGAGGGCATTCAAAATCTAAGGAGAGTGCAAATAGATAGGGAGATAAGTATTGATGGGCGTAGAATTGGTGTTTCTAGGGTGATAAGCTAGATCCTTTAGTAATTTGGTCTAAAGTTGAAACATGAGTCCCTGGTATGCTCTATAGAGATGGCACAATGTGTCTTCTAAAAGTGAGAGGTTAGAATCTACTTAGCACTACCATTCAATCAGGAACTTACTTTAGATTAGCTAATGTTCCTTATACACTCGGGAGAGGATAAAGAATATGTTTTCTCTTATTTTTCACAATTCATCATTTAAACCTTAAAGCTTTTGATTTCTACACATATTATGAACTCATTACAAGGAGAAAGATTCTTTTCATAATTAGAACTCTCATTTACATTTAACATAGTTTAGAATATCTACATTTACATTTAATTTTAAACAGAACTTCTAGGAATTTAGTAGTTTACTTTACACCTGAACTTGTTATTATATTTTCTAGATTAATTTATGTAGTTTTAAGTAAAAGTTTCACTAAAATTCTATACAAGGAATTATCGCTTCCATGTGGGATCGATATTGGGTTTTTTAGAAAACTCTATATTACTTGAAATGATACATATACTTACGCATAACTCATAGTGTGAAAACTATTATTTTAAACTTTATAATATTTCATTTGTTCACACTAGCTGCTAAATATAAAATTGGGTCAAGTTTTTGGTCATTTTTTGGAATATAAAAATCAACATAATTGTGGGTTGGGTCAGCGAGCCGCTAATCGGTGAAGCTGAAACCAAGGGGGGCTTGTGCTTTCGGTGGTGGGAGTCGCGTTGCGAGTGGTAGTTGAAATCGTTGCCCCTCTTCAATTCAAAGATTTCTGACCATATTCGTGCAAATACCCTATGCCCATCCCCTCATTTGTCACCTATGTTTTTAGGCATAAACTCAGTTGCGCTCCCCTCCCTTTGTTGTCGGTGTCATCGACTAGTTGCTACCCTCTGTTAAAGGTTGTTTCTTTATGCCTTTTTTGAGTTTTCAGTTTCCCTCTACTTCATTGCCTCGTTCTGCTTCACAGAAGGCTGACTTGCACTTGTTCAGCTTCTTTGTTCAATTATGTGTGCTATTTTTCTGTTTCTCTGAGAATTTTTGTTGGACATATTTTTATTATGCCTATTTTGATGTTAATAATTATTGATTTTATTGCTCTTACTTCTTCCTCGGTCTAGAGGAACATGTTGGGTGAAAAAATTCAGCAATGATTCCATTTTTTATTTGATAGTTTATTTAATATTGGATATACATCTGTTTTGATGCAAAGTTGAGGGTTTCATGACAGTTAAATTAGCAACATCTATTTCCCTCATGATCATTCAAGAGAAATTATGGAAGGATAAATATATGAATACTATTTTTTTGTTTCTCTGAGATTTTTTCTTATAGTTGTTTTTTTATATGCATGTTCTCTTGTTAGTAATTCCCGATTTGCTTGTTGTTGCCTCTTCTTCAGTCTAGATGAATATTCAGGGGCGAGAAATTTGAGCACTGATTTTTTTTTTTTTATCTGAAAGGTTTATACCATTGGAAATGCATAGTTTTGAGACAAACTTGTAGGTTACATGACAGATTAGTTTGCAACATCTTTTTTCCTTCCCAATCATTTAGACGAAGTTATTTAAGTATAAATATTTGAGTACTGTTTCTTTATATCATTGAGAATTTTTCTTGGACTTGGCTTTTTATATGCCTATTCTCATGTTAGTAATTGCTAATTTGTTTGTTATTTCCTCATCTACGGTCTACATGAACTTTTTGGGGGAAGCAATTTGAGCAATGGTTTCATTTTTTTTAAAATTTGAAAGATTTTTACCATTGGAAATGCATATGTTTTGAGACAAACTTGAAGTTTACATAGCAGCTAAGTTAGCAACATCAATTTTATCTCATAATCATTCAAGAGAAGTTATGGAAGAATAAATATATGAACACTATTTCTCTGTATCTCTGAAAATTTTCCTTGGACTTGTTTTTTAAATGTCTATTTTTATATTAGTAATTGCCAATATGCTTGCTCTTTCATGATCTTCACTCTACAAAAACATTTTAGTGGTAGAAATTTGAGCACTGGTTTAATTTTTTTCCTTTTATTTGAAAGTTTTTATTATTGAGAATGCATGTGTTTTGAGACAAACTTGAATATTACATGACAGATAAATTAGCAACATCAATTTTGCACAAACAAATTAGGAAATTTGTAGCGATCCAAAATACATGTCATTTTTTAATATATTGGTTTCTTTATCTATTCTAACATTACTATAATAAAGAAAATGTATTAATAATTTTCTTTCTAAAAATGATTGCATCGAAGCAATTGACGAAATGCATGTCGACACACCATTGACAGTCAAGAAAAAATTGCGTATACCCGAAGGTGTAAGGTTGCTACACAGAATATATTAGCAGTTTGTGATTTCAACATGCGTTTTACATTCGTGATAGCTAGCTGCAAGGCAATGCCCACAACAACAAAAGTTTTAAATTTGCAACTCGGCGATGTGAATACAAATTCTCCATGCCTCATCAAGGTTGGTACATTTTAGCATCACTAAATTATTTCCATTTGAGCTAACCCACTAATGTTATAATTTTGCCGAAAAATATTACTTAATCGACTTGGATATTCATTACAACGGGATTTTTTAAAGCCATTTCCTAACACGATGTATCACCTTCCTAATTTTGAGCCCAACTGCTAGGTGATTAGAGAGAGGAATGAACTCTTCAACAAAAGACACTCATCATTACAGAGTGTCATCGAGAGAGCATTTGATGTATGGAAGAAGAAGTGGGTCATACTCTAAGATACACCTACTTATTCATTCAAAAAAAAAGTGAAGATAGTTGTTGCAAAAACAACACTCCATAATTTTATATGGAGGCATCCATCCCGAGATGATATATTTCAAGGTTCTAGATGAATATCCTACCTACTTGATTGAGGAAGTTAACCAACATCGAGCTAGTCCTTCAATTCTTGAAGAGGACTTTAATAAGAACGAGTACAACACTCCTGAGGGAGAAAGCATCCAGGCGATGATAATTCTTTGGTGAATGAAATGACCGTTCTTATGTAGCACCACTTACTTATTTGTTATTGATAATTCATATTTCAGTGTTACATTGATTCTCTAGATGTATTTTTTCTAAATATTGGTAGCAATTTGTATTGTAGCTTTCTTTATGTGTTCCGACAACATTTTATTTTTAAATTTAGGCTATTTAATTTTTTTTTTAATATTTATTGAAGGTTATTATCCATTTATTTTTTGTTAATTGGAGCTATAGTGTTTTATAATAACAGAAAAATATGAGTTCAAGAGCATAAGATACTTTGAAAGTTTTGCTTTACTATTGTGGCGATAGGTGTGTTCAACATCAATCAATAAGGGAATATAACTACGGGAGAAGATTTTACTCTTGTCTAGGAAACATGACATCTGTTGATTGCGACTTTTTCTATTGGGTTGATGACATTGATGTGTTCCTTTCAGATCATGATTAAGCAAGGAGATGCTAGCATGGAGAGGAGATTGTCCCAAATACTTTATCATTGGGGCTTGAAGATGAATATCATTCTAGGCTTGTTGGTTACTGTTGTTGTCCTTATTATTGTAGTTATATGCTTCATGCCACTGAGCACTTTTTTATGTATTAGAGTTTTTTGCAATGTAATAATTTTTTTCTAGTAGTAGGAAATCTTTTTGTTATTTAGTTGTAATTGCTCTAAAAACTGTACTTATTCGAATATATTACACATAAAGGGCAAAATAAACTTTCTCATCAGAAACAACATCACAACAGATCTCTCAAATAAACTCTTGCTTCTTCATCAACAATTTTCTAACAACCCCTGATAAGCTGCTTCTTGGAAAAGCAGCTGTCGTCCTAAACACATCCTTAGAAGTCCTAATCCGTTCATAACAAAAAGAGGTGCGAACAAAGACATTAACATACATACCACCCAATTCTATTGTATTGACATATCTAAATTTTTAAATTTACTTTTTACATTAATAACTCTCAGATTCTTCATATTACATAAAAAATATTATAATTTTAATTTTTAAAATGTTTAATACACCTTTTCGTGCATGAATAATATGGCATGCTATGTAAAAATAAAGTTTGTGTGAGATATGTAAATAAATAGGAATTGAGAGGTATATATGTAAATCATCGAAAAAAAAAAATTAAGTAGCGAGAAATAAGTGAGGAAGCCACAAATCGTCTGGTCTATCTCCTCTTCTCCAGCGCTGCTCTCCTAGCTCTTGTGGGCAAACTACCTGTTGTGAAATGGCAATGAAAGTGCCTGTAGGGGGATTGAGCTTGGCACCACCTTCGTCTTCCTCTTTGTGCCCTCCTCCTAAGATGGCTCTGGTCCGCTGCTCGCCTCTCAGGACCTCCTTCTTCAATGGAGGGGGTACGACGTTAAACTCTCCGCGCATCTTTTGTATTTGGATTTTTTTTTGCTGTTTAATGATATATTTGATTCTGAAATGGAGCATTTATGTATGCCATTGTCAATCTTTTAGTGAACAGTTTAACCTTAATTTAAACTTTGGGCTCGATTCGTTAGATTGCGTGGGTGCTTGGAAGGCGATTGAAGGGACTTGTGTTACTAAAAATTGCTTTGTTGTTGAAGTTTCCACAATTGATTTTTGTTTGAGCTTGAAATATATAGTTTTTGAACATAATTAACAACTTATTATGTGTGGACCTAGTTCTAATGCAAATACAAAGCGTCCGTGGTAACTGAAGCAATATGACAATCTGTTTGAAATGAGCATGCGTTCCATTTGTTGCTTTTCAAATGTCTTATGGCTAAACGTAGTGAGTAAGATGTTGCAAGAGACGTATTAACCCTAATTGTTATTTCTCATTAAGAATTCCATTTGCTTGGCATGAAAAAACCATTTTCAACGTTTGATCCACTGATTTAGAAAGTTGGTTTATAGGTGGAATGAAATATGAATGGCATTTCAGCAATGTTGCTGTTTGTCATTGAAATTAAATTTTAAAAAAATTTTGTGAAAAGGATTGATCCACAGGATGCACATATTTCCACCTTATGTTAATGATATTACCCTAAAGATATTCTGCCGTTCTGAGAAACAATGGAGAAAATGTTATTTTTTTTTACTACTATTCTAAAGGAGAAACAACAACAACAACAACAAAGCCTTAATTCCACTGCGTGGGGTCGGCTATATGAATCCTTTTTCTCCATTGCGTCCTATTTAGTGTCATAATTTCATTTAGTTCTAGTAAATTAAGATCATTTTTAATACAATAAGCCCAAGCCTTCCTAGGTCTACCTCTGCCTTTCTTAACACAAGTCAAATTTAAAACATCTACTCTCCTAATCGGATCATCAGATGGTCTACGTGTAATGTGACCAAACCATCTAAGACGACTTTCTCTAATTTTGTCTGTCACAGGAGCTACACCAACCCTATCACAGATATATTCATTTCACATTTTGTCTCTAAGTGTAAAGCCACTCATCCACCTAATCATTCTCATCTCGGCAACACTTAACTTATTATTATGCTTCTCTTTTAAAGGTCAACATTCAACGCGATATAGCATTGCAGATCTCACCACCATTTTATAACATTTTCCTTTCAGTTTAAGCGGTACTTTTGTATTACACAAAAGGCCCGAAACATTCCTCCACTTCAACCAACCAACTTGAATTTTACTATTAACATCCCCATCTATATCACCATCGCTTTGAACAACGGACCCAAGTTATCTAAATCGTTCACATCACCCAAAATCACACTTCTGTCACTAGAGCTATTACTACTAAAATTACATTCCATGTATTCAGTTTTAGTTTTACTTAAATGAAGGCCTTTAGACTCCAATGTAGACTTCCATAATTCAAGTTTTTCCTGGGCTATTTCTCTTGTTTTATCCACGAGAAAGATATCATCAGCAAAAAGCATATACCAAGGTACATCCTTCTGTAGATGTCCAGTAAGACCATCCATAACTAAAGCAAAAAGATATGGGCTTAAAGCCAATCCCTGATGTAATCCAACAGAAATAGGAAAATATTTGTTCAATCCTACTTCAGTTTGAACACAAGTAACAACTCTAGTATACATATCTTTAATGACTAGAATATAAGTCATATCAAAACCTTTCTTCTCAAGAACTCTCCAAAGGATATCTCTTGGAACCTTATCGTAAACTTTTTCTAAATCAATAAAAATCAAATGTAGATTCTCTTTATTATCTCTGAACTTCTCCATCAAACCTCTCAATAAATATATAGCTTCCATAGTAGACTTGCCCGGCATAAATCCAAATTGATTATGAGAAATCATTGTGATGCGTCTTAACCTATGTTCAATTACCCTCTCCCATAACTTTAAAGTATGACACATCAACTAATCTAAAGGAGAAAGTTTAACTTTTTTTTTATTTTTTTTATATGATTTGTTAACATAGAAATCTCTAAAGCTCATATCTTGCTTTTTCCTCTTCTTCCTCATTTTTACAGTTCTTTGAAGATTTTGAAGACAATATAATATGACTGGAATGCTTTTATTGCAATGGAAAGCTCATTTCCACATTGGAGAATTTTTCCTCTTAAAAAATCTTGAATGAAGAATGTATTGAAATTCACTGGCCACTTGATATTTTTTGTCCTCGACAACACTCCTATTTAAGATGCTCCAATAGAAAAAAGTCATGTCAAATATGAGTTGAATTCCTTTTAAACAATACCAAAATTTAAAAAATTTATAGTTTTATTGCCATGACAATCTTCTGTGCAAGCTGTTAGTTTACTTTGATGTTAAGGCTTGTTAGGAGGTCGCGTAAGGGACCTAACTAGCATAATTGTCACACCTCATTATCGAGTGTAATAGAAAATCATAGAAACCTAGCAAGAAGATGCGAGATGAAAACTTAAAACCATTCTTATTGGTATAAATGTAACTTCAATAATATTTGTATCAATTAAAAATCATCAGAATATCAAGATAAAAATATCACCTACTAATCTACTTCTAAATAGTAAGTGAAACTTAACTGCACTATTATATCAAGTAAATATTTCTAATGTTAAGCACTTCCACTATTATATTCGACATCATGAGTATAAACTCTCCTTTAGTGATGCACAATCAGGAACTTGAAAATCATAAATCAAGATGCATGAGTTTGTAGGAAATAAACTCAGTAGTTGAAATCTGACAAGCATAATGACGAGACTTGAAGTATAATATGATTAATTAAAGATGCAACAATAATAATAAAGTATTATATTATGACAGTTGTAAAACAATGTCTAAAAAATAAGATTTTAAATACAATAAATTATTAATTGTGCTTATTATTTGTTAGAGTTAATTATTTTAATGTATATCAACCACTAACTATTGTATTCAAATGCAGAAACATTTACTTACATGCATACTCTATTCATATTCTATAATGGATTCATTCTTATATTTCTCATTTTAATATGCAAACATCTATAGTTAATTCATATTGACATTTTGAAATCAAGGAAGGTAGGCATCGGTTCCATAAAATTTCAATAATTTATCAAAAGAGTTGTTACTCTATAGATCCAGTGGTCTGAGTAGCCATTATTAAATGTGCTTAAAATCAATATATCAATCATTATAATAAACATGCATATTGCAAGTAGTTTATACGAGTATTATAATTAATATGACTGATGTTATTTACATATGAAAATACAAGCTATAAGAGTAAAATCCATTTTATTTTACAAGGATAAACATATGAAAAATAATTATTAGAACTATAGGAATCAGTTCAAGAGATGAGCTTTTTGCTACAATAATTAAGACAAAAATATTCATGTAACTTACTATTACACGAACATAAAAAGATGATCACATGTCTAACAACTAAAGCAATATCATTGGCAGGACTATCAAACTATATATATCTAAAATCCTAATAGATTTATTAAGTTTAATGCATCTAATAAAGACTGTTACATTTATTTTCTACCTAATAAAGAGTTACCTACCTAATATAGATCATACATAGTTCAATGCATTAGACATGATTCCACCATAGCTTATTGTTCCATATTTTATAAACTATGAAAACTCATATGAAATATACACTGAACACAAAAAAACATAAAAAACTAAATAATCCAAACAAATAATATTGAGTAAATTTTTAAATTTATAATTTCTATGGATTTCCATTAATTTATACTAAAGTCAACATTTCAGATTCACTTGCTATTTAATATTCAACCATGAACTATAATTAATCGTATGTTTAGAAAATCACTGGTATACCCTAGAAATTAAACCAACAATTAGGTATAGGTTATGCATATTCATGATTACTATATACTCTTATACAACATAAGATAAATTTTTACACATAAATTGTCATTAACCGTAAGTCTTGATCTATATCAATGATTCTACCATTATCTAGCTCTCATTAAGTTAAAATTTGGAAACCACTGCTAAAATTCTTACCTTAATCTATGTAATTAAGTTCATACATCAAAAACAGCACACAAAGTTAAATTTCCCACACAGACCATTTTAATCTCTTAAACGATATCACATAAAATTTAAAGTTGATTTAGATTTAATATCTTCTTAAAGTCCTCTGAAAATTTTAGTTGTTCAAACTAATTCATATTCTCTATTCATATAGGAGCAAACATAAACAGACAAGGCATGTCTTGGGTTTAAGGTTTATGTAGCTTAAGTTTATTAAGATGGGGACCATAATAATGTTGGAAGAAGAAGAAGAAGGACAAGAAGAAAAAGTAAAACTTTTTATTTCTTCCTCTTGCTTTTCATCTTGTCAAATGACCCTGTTGAAGCTATTGAAACTACGAAACATTTGGACCAAGGGTCCATCTTTCTTGGTAACAGGACAAGGATCACTCTGATTCCGACTTAATTCACTCCCATGCACAGTTCTTTCGCTGCTTTCCCTCTTGATTGCTCACTTTACACTCTTTGTGGTTTTGGTGCCTTAAAAAGTCACGATTTAAAACTTTAACGGTTGTGAGTGACATTGGGTCTGATTGGGTCGATCCATGAAGTTAAATACTGGCTAGTACTATAAGGTGAAAGATAGACTATATTATATTTCTACATGTTTGTCGAAAACTTCATATTGAAGGAATATTTGCTATAATTATGGTTTGATTCCTTGGAATATTAGAAGCTGATGGGATACATTCACTTAGCAGTGCATTTGATGTGTTGATAGAATTCTATTTTATTCTCAGGCCTCGATACTATAGTTGATGACTTTCAATAATTAAAGAAAGATAATATGGAGGCAAGTAGTTTTAGATCTTTCTTGTTTGGTAATAGTTAATGAACCATTAAGTGATGGTGATTCACTATGCAAATAAATCAAGCTGAAGATTTTGTAACTAGTATGATGACATTTGTTAATTTTGAATGATTGAAGGCTATGTTTAACAATTAGTCATCTGATTGAGCTCCATAGAATAATCCTAATTGAGTTGCATTCTTCAACGACTGTCTACGATAATAATTTGTGATCCTAAGAATTTTTTTTAGTGATCTTTATAATAGATTGAATACTAAAGAGGGTGAATGACATATGTATAAACTAGCCAAATAAAGAGAAAATAAAAGTAAAGATTTAATTCAAATATAGTGTATTAAAGATGAAAATCAAAAAGTGTTTTTCTTAGAGGAAGATATTCAATAGAGGTGGGTGAGATATTTTGATAATTTTTTCAGTGAAATTTTTGAAAATATAATCGATCTTAGTGATTCTTAATATCGTTAATAATAATAAAACTTTATTTTTACCGTCATATTAGTAAAAAAGAAGTTGAAGAGGCTTTAAAGAAAACCAAGGGTGAAAAACCGGTAAAACCTGATGGTATCCCAATAAAAGTATAAAAATATTTAGAAAATTTAGGAGTTTTTTGACCCACTAAACTTTTTAATATTATTTTAAAAACTAAAAAAAAGCATGCGGAGTGGAGGAATAATATCTTGGTCCCCATTTTTAAGAATGAAGGGGATGCACAAGAGCGTGCAAATTATAGAGGAATTAAGTTAATGTGTTATACATGAAATTATGGGAGAGAATAATCGAACATAGGTTAAGACACGATACAAATATTTTTCATAAATAGTTTGGATTTATGTCGGGAAAGTCTACTATGGAAGCTATTTATTTATTGTGAGGTTTAATGGAAAAGTACATAGAGTAAGGAGGATCTACATATGTTTTTCATTAATTTAGAAGAAGCTTATGATAAGGGTCCAAGAGAACTTTTTTGTAGAATTCTAGAAAAGAAAGATGTTGATATGACTTATATTCAAGTCATCAAAGATATGTATTATGGAGCTTTTAATTGTGTTCGAATAGAAGGAGGATTGACCAAGTATCTTTTTATTTTCTTTGGATTACATTGAGGATTGGTTTTAAGCTCATATCTTTTTGCTCTAGTTTTGGATGCTCTTATTGGACATTTATAGGAGGATGCACCGTGGTGTATACTTTTAGATGTTGATATCCTTCTTATGCATAAGATTAGAGAAAGAGTTCGGTAAAAACTTGAATTATGGAGGTCTACATTAGAGTCTAAAGGTCTTTTGTTTGACTAGATCTAAAACTGAATACATGGAATGTAATTGTAGTGGCAGTAGATCTAGCTGTAGAGTTGTAATAATGGATGATCAAATCATTAAAAGGTGTGAACTTTTTATATTTCTCAGGTCTATAATTCAAAATGATGGTGATATAGATGAGAATATTTTT